TCAATTATCTTTCTTCCTTTTTAATTTTTCTTCCCTGTAATTTATGTACAGATTGTTGTTATCCATTCTCAGATCTGAACAGAAATAGTGTTTGGGTGTCTCTGTTTCAGATCGGAATTACTTCCTTGGGTTAAAAATTGACTGTTGATTACTGCAGTGTTTTATCCTAAAGAGTCTCTACTAAAATTATTTGTTTGAGATTTGCATAACCCCCACTGCAGTTAAAACCTTGGTAGGCGCAAATCACGTGGTTTATTTCATACTTGTTAGTGCATCGGAATCACTTCAAAGCATTCGGGAAATATGAACAAGGAAACGACAGAAGCTCAATGCCATAGTGAGCCTTATTCCTGCCTGCCACGCTGCCGAGCTGAGTCCTGCCGGCTACTGCTGGCGGCAGCGGGACCCCGGGACCCCGCTGCTTGCCCGCTCTCTCATGCTGCAGAGGAGTGGGAGTGGGCTCAGCCCACGCACCCATTGCTTGCTGTGCCTTGCACGCCCTGGGTGGGGGTCCATGTGCATCTCCCCCAGCTGCAAACGCCCGGCTTGCAAACTCAGCTCCCATCCAGCTCTCCCCTTCGCTGTTGCTCTGTGGTGGGAAGCGTGGGATGGGACTGCAGAAACGCTCTCTTCCCTTTTCAGAGGAGGCTGAAGCGCTGCGGTGGTGCAGCTGGCACAGCATCCTCTTCGGGAAGGTTCCCCTGCATTTTTTCCCCCCGTGTACGAGGCAGCGGAGGCAGCTCTGCTGTGGAGATGTGTGTGCACGGCTGGCTGACCACATCTGCCTGCACAAAATAGCTTTCTTTGTCCTCAGCAAACAGCAAGAAAGACGTTCGAGTCACCCCAGCCCCGTGTAGCTTGACACTGGGCGGTGGCTTCAACGGAGCCTCGGTCCTTCAACGGAGCTTCTTCATTACAGCTGGACAGAGACTGGACAGGTGACTTGAAAAATGGTAATTTTTATTCAGTGCCATAATGCCCACCAGTCTGGATGACTTGAAGCAAAGAGGAGTTAACAAAAATGCCCTGGAAGAGCTGAAATTCCTTATTTACATCCAGAAATCAGGAAAAATGTTATCCCTATGCTCATTTAATCTTTTCTGATGTACACCGCTACAGCTGAGCCAGTGCACTCCCTCTTTTCCTCATTTTTGGGCTAGGGACATGGGGAGAAGTCCTGGCATGCTGAAAATAATAAAGCAGTTGCCAGTTTGAGGCCAAAATTCTATCATGTGCTGGCCCAGCTGATGTGATCCTGATGTTCAGGTTAGCATCTGAATGAGGCTTTTTCCCTAAGTAGACGTATTCTGGGCTGGCAATAACTGCTAAATTGTCCCCAGCATCAGTCCATTAACAACAGAGATGTGAAGTGTCTACAAGCTCCTTGCCTCGTTAGGAGGCGGGTGCCACGCTGACACTATCCCCAGCTGCAATCTTTTAAGATCACCTACAACTACTTCACAACCCCCTTATTCACTCCTCCTTTTCCCACCCTGCAGTAACAAGCAGCATATTAGCAAAGAGCCTCGGAGAGCAAGAACTGCGCCTGCCACGACCACCATGAAGGGCTTTCAAGCTGCTAATAAGGAGATCTCACTTTTTCCAGGAGAAAAACTAGTCCCATTACCTTGGGTAACTTCAGCTGAGCCCTAGCCACGCTCATCCAGCCTGCAGCACTAAAACTGCCTCCCCTGGGTCATTCGCAGCATCTGCTGGCGTTGAATGACGCGATTTGCAGGTACGAGATGGTGGCTGGGGCACGGGAATCTCTGTGAGCAGGTAGCTGACCCGTGTTGCAAACGATTTATGGATTAGATGGAACTAAAATAAAGCACATTCAGCTGGGGCTTTCTTACTACGTGTCTGCTCTTGCAGCGTTGTTGGGTTACTGAGCTGCTTTCCCTGGGCTGTCTGGGGGGTCTATGTGAAAATTCCTGTACAGAGTGAGCACGGGTGTAGGACAGTGAACTCGGTTTCCTATCTGCAGGACAGAGCTGTCAGCTAAATTTTAATCTCATTTAATCTCAAGCTTTAGGCGAGGAGATGTTTTGGTTTTTTAACCAGCAAATAGGCATTAAAAAAAAAATCAGAAAGTGAAAAGGAAGAGCTGGAATGATAAATCCCAGAAATGCAGGCTTTGCAAATAGGCATTAAAAAAAAAATCAGAAAGTGAAAAGGAAGAGCTGGAATGATAAATCCCAGAAATGCAGGCTTTGCAAATAGGCATTAAAAAAAAAATCAGAAAGTGAAAAGGAAGAGCTGGAATGATAAATCCCAGAAATGCAGGCTTTGCTAAGAAGTAAACCATGTATGGTTGGTTGTTGGTTTTTTTCCCCTCTTTCTTCGTTTCAGTTTTGCATTGTGAAAATGTTTATATGATCAATTTTCTGCACCTGTCTGATTAAACCAGTCCTGCCACCATCTGAAGTGAGCTAGCTGCTGCTGCATAACTGGGCAGAATCTCTCTGTGTGAGTCTGCATAAGAACTTACCTTGTCCAGATCACTTTTTTGTGTATTCTTTGAAAAAAAGTCAGCAATCTAATTTATAGCTTTAAAAAGAAAAAATCAGCACAAATGAGTTATAATACATTTATTGCTATAGAAATAATGACTTTAAATTTCTGATCTCTTACATACTGTAGGTGAAATACATCGAAGTGGCTCATATAATTGCTGTGCAATAACATTGTACTCCAAACAATCATATTCTAAGGGCAAATTGAGGATCACCTACCTTAGATTGTGATGCTTCTGTTGCTGGAAATTTTCTCCTGCTCTGCCTCCAGTTTGGATTTAGTCTAATAAAGTGGGGTTTTGCAGCTTCCAGTTCAGTTGGTCTTTGCTCGACTCTTGATGTTTAATTCCTTTTTTAATATATTGATGTCCAGAGTCTAAAAATGGATGCACTAAAAACTTACTTTAGTCCAGATGCTCATTGCTGAGCAAACTGGAGGAATAGTAGAGGTGCCACCAACGTACTGAGTATGGAACCCAAAAATGGTCATTTTTAGCCACCTAATGATGCGGGTGACATCATGGAAGGGGAAAAAAAAAAGTGAAGAGGCCAGGAGCAGAAATTGCAAGAGTTTGAGAGGGATTCCCCTGCTCTACAGACAACTTGCAAAGTTTTAACACAAAGCAACTGTTTCTAAACAATAGTAGTAAAATGCTATTTGCTGTGAACCACTTCCAGGCAGAACTTCACATGAAGTAAGAACTTTGTGCGTGTTTCCTCAAACTTCTGTGGTTTGAATGAACCTGAGTGCTTCATCTAGCTCACGCCTGTCTTTTGATCCCATACTCTTTATGAATACAGGACAAAAAGATGGTTTCTGCTTCAAAGTCTGTTATAAAACAGTCCCTGCAATGAGAATGAAGCAAGTGGTAATGCCAGGCTGGTACTAGTGTACCAACAAATACATTTTTTTTTAGTCTGGTCTTTCTCTTCCCTGTAATACCTGCTTTGCATCGCAGAGCATGCTCAGGTGCCTCTTCCACAAGGACATCACCTTCATAACCAGCAAAGCTCTAGTAACCCTTTGCAGTTCTATAAAATGAACGTTTAGGCT